TTTTGACAAGGAATTGAAATCAGTTAAGTGGGGAAATGACAGCCTTTTTAACAAATGCGGTTGGCACAATTGGAAAACCATCTGCAGAAAAGCAGGACCCACACCTCACTCTGTACACAAAAACCAATTCAAAGTGGATCAAGAACTTAGGACTAAAACCAAGGACTATAAACATCATTATAGAAAAGCTTAGAAGAACCCTAGAAGCCATAATACACAACATGAACTGTCTTCCAAGCATCCATAAAAATCTACAACCAGGAGAGGATAAAATAGATGAATGGGACCTCCTAAGAGTCAAATCTTTATGCACATCCAAAACCTTCTCCAACAGGGTAAAAGGAAAGCTACAAACTGGGAAACATATTTGGTAATGACATGTCTGATAAGGGACTTATATCTAGTATTTATAGAACACTCAAACACCACAACAACATAATGGTAAATAAATCCAATTGTAAAACAGGCACAGGATATGAACAGACACTTCACCAAAGAAGACATTCAGATGGCAAACAAACACATGAAGAAATGCTCAAAATCCCTAGCTCTAAGGGTTTATCATCCCTTAACGGAGTTTTAAATTTCATTTTACTTGGATTCATAATCAATATCCATGGTAACAGTAGTCAAGAAAACAAAAGATGCACAGCATTGGGGAAATATGCTGTCAAAGACGTCATTAAAGTGCTAAAAAGCAAGACTGACATTGGGGTCTGGAGGAACCTAAGAAAAGAGGAAATAAATAATGTATACTGCATTGAAACAGATGAGGAAGGAATAAAAGGAATACAGGATTAGCTATTATTTTCATGACAAGATTAAAGAAAAAGAAATGCATATTAAAGTGGACTGGGGACTGACGGGGAATGTATAACAATGAAAGAATTTTGTTTTCTTCAAAGAGAAAAAGGAACTGGGAGGAGGGTTAGGCAGGGAAGAAAATGTGCAACAATCAATGAATAGGGAAAAAATTGAATGGAAACAATATGCTGTAAAAATATATATGTTGCAAAAAAAATATATGTTGCATTAAAAAATCATTAATTAAAAAAATTTTTTTTTAAGAAAGCACGGCAGTCATTTAAAGACTAAGGTATGCTTGATCCAAGCCATGATATTTTCAATTGCTTCCTATGCATCTGAAAGTTGAACGATGAATAAGGAAGACAAAAGAAGAACCTATGGCAGTGAATTGTGGTGATGGTACAGTGCTGAATTACCCTTGGACTGCCAAAGGAACAAACAGATCTGTGTTGGTGAAGTGCAACCAGAGTTAGAGACAAAACAACAAAAATTCATCTCACATACTTTGGGCATGTTGTCAGGAGGTGCCAGTCTTTGGAAGGACATTATGGTAGGAAAGGTGTAGGGTCTTGAAAGAGAGAAAGACTCAAGGGATTGACACAGTGACTGCAGCAATGGGTTTGAGCACGATAGACTTAGGGTGGCAGAGGACCAACAGAAAAGAGCTCTGCGGCAAAGTGTGTTACAGATAATGCTGCTGACTGCTGAGGTCACTTGGAATCCACTTGCTGCTCTAAAGGATAGAGATGGGCAGTCTCCTCCTGCAAAGACGTATAGCTGTGGAATTTGGACGAGGACTCAAGGAGTCCTCCAATTGACAATTTGACCGTGCTGAGGGTTTGTGGAATCACCTCTTAAGTTCCACTAGAGGGCACTCTTATCCCTAAGGTTTTTTCCACACTGAATCAGTTGTTTTTAGAGACTTTGTTGCTGCTAGTTTGGGAGTAAGATGGCCAAGTGAGTAAGTAGCTGTGCTCCCAACTCAAAAGCAAGCTTCAAAACCTCCAGTTTCTCAAAGTAGGAAAGATGGGCAATCTCTGCGTGTGCAATTTACAGCCTCAAGAAACCTGCTGGAGGGTCGACTATGAGTTGGCTCTGACTTGAATCCAAGTAAGCTAAGTACAGTATCAAAGATTTTAGTGTTTTGAAGCTTTTTGGTTGTTTTGTTTTGTTTTAATGTGTGTACCGTCAAATCGGATCTGACTGGTACAGGAGGCGATTGTTCCTCCTTCAGCAGAGCATCTGGTGGATTTGTACCGCACATCTCTGGGATTGCAGTGCAGCTTCTTGCCACTAGGCCACCAAAGCTCGCTGAAGTTTGTTTTTTATATAAAGGTTTTTCTTTTAATTGTGATTTTAACAAAAGTTTACAGGAAAGTTAGAAGTGTTTTGAAGTTTTAAGATAAAAACAACACACATTCCCATGAGCTGATTAATGAATAAACAAAATGTGATAGACTCTCCAGTGGTCTAGTGGTAAGGAGCTGCGCTGCCAAACCAAAAGCACGCAGTTCGAATCTACCATCTGTTCTACGTGAGAAAGACAAGCAAACTCTTACAGTGTGATTTACTGCCTCTGAAAATTCACTGATGGGTTTTCAGTGGCAGTTTTAAGAGTTCAGCTAGGAGTCAGTTCTAATTCAACAGTTAGCAAGAATAAAAAAAAAAAAAAAGAATCATACTATAACATGAATGCACCCTGAAAACATTATGCTAAACAAAAGAAGATAGAAACAAAGGACAACATGTTGTGATTCCACTCAAAGGAAACGCTCAGAACTGGCAAATCTATAGATACAGGAAATGGCTGCGGGGCCCATGAATGTCAATGATAAAGGGTTTGGGTTTCTTTTTTTCTTGTGGTGTGTGTGTGTGTGTATACCATCAAATAAAATCTGACTGGTACAGGAGGAGATTGTCCTCCCCCCTGTCCAGCAGAGCATCTGGTGGATTTGAACCACGTACCTCTGGGATTGCAGTGCAGCTTCTTGCCACTAGGCCACCAGACCTCCCTTGGGTTTCTTTTTAGGGGATGTAAATGTTCTAAAATTAGACTGTGATGACAGGTGCACAGTTCTTTGGCTATACTAGAGCTACTGCATTGTACATTTTAAATAGGTAAACTTTATAGAAAATGAACTATATTTCAAGAAAGATTTAGCGAAAAAACCCAACTCTAGCAGCTGTTGTTGTTAGGTGTTATTGAGTTGAGTATGATGCATAGCAAACTATACAACTACAAATTACAGAGGTGGTTAGGAAAGTGATGAATGGCATTTAAATTAACAAATGAGAGTCAGGCTTGTATTCAGGTATGAGAACAGCTCTTGAAAAAGCCTTGAGAAAAAAATTGGGAGCGTCTGAAGAACAGAACAAAGCTGTGGCCGGAGCATAGTGTGGAGCAGTTCAGAGAGCTGAGGGAGAAAAGAGCAGCTGATGAGCTTACAGAAGCAGCAGGTATATTAGACAAGTACCTATCCAGATTTAAGGAAGGAGTGATCATTCTGTCTGTTGTGTGGATAAGGGACCAGTGAGGCAAAGACAGGTCATAACTAAGAGGCTGCTCTCACAGCAGCTTGAGCATGAGGTTAGCAGTGATTTGGACAAGGACACACTAATCCTAGAACTGACCTTTCATTCTGGCCATGTGGGAAGAAACTCAGGTTTCCTGTCAGCAAACAGCACCCATCTGTGAGGCGTGTGAATGGGCACATTGGAAAGGACTCCTCCAAGCACATGACCACAACCCCGCAGCCCTGACTTCAGAGTCCAGCCTCCCTGTGTTGCCTCCAGAGGAGGTTGAAAAGGTGGTTTCTTTGTTCCCAGTACAGAGAAAAAGAATGTTTCTCGACTTCCAAAAGTATTATTCCACAGAATGTATAGGTTTTTGAAAAATTGCTAAAGATGGGTGTTCAAGCTGTATAATACCTTTAAAAATGACATTACAAAAAAATTACATTACCTATGGGAGGCTGGGCTCTATGAGGAGAAAAGTGGCTCAGGAATGGAGGAAGACTATTCAATAATCCGTGTTTTGCAGATGACACAACCTTGCTTGCTGAAAGTCAGGAGGAACTGAAGTGAAGGTCAAGTGAAGTAAAGTAGAAGGTCAAGCAAGGACTCCAGCCTTCAATATGGATTGAAGCTCAACGTCAAGAAAACAAAGATTATCACCAATGGGCATTATTTTATGACAGATGGTAAGGAGATTGACACTGTTAACAGCTTCAGTTTGCTTGACTCCACAACCAACATTCTTGATCCCAGCATCCAGGAAATGAAAAATACAAATTGCACTGGGAAAATCTACTTTCAGGGCCCTCTCCAGAGTACTGAAGAGCAATGATGTCAGTCTGGAGAACTAAGGTGTGCTTGATCCAGGCCATGCTCTTTGTAATTACTTGCTATGTATCAAAGAAGCTGGATAATGACTAGGGATGATAGAGGGAGAACTGATGTTTTTGAGCTTTGGGGCTGGAGAAGAGTACTGAATATAACAAGGACTGTTAGGAGAACAAAGAGGTTTGTCCTGGAGAAGATGACACTAGGCTGCTCCTTGGAGGCAAGGATTCTGAAGCTTTGTCTGAATACTTTGGACACATTCTTAATGTTGGACAGTAGATTATCTTATTACTGTAAATATAAAATGCTGGATAACAAGATACTCAGTCAATGAGGAGTAAGTCTTTAAATTTTATATATTGAACCTGGAAATAAAAGGAAGAAAGCAGAACAATGAGGGCTGCTTTGTAAAGACACACATAAAGTAAAAGATGGCTATCCTACATTTTTATATGAATTACTTGAAAAACTGCTTTTTCATTGAAATGACTAGCAATTTTACCAAAGAACATATGATATCCTTAATTTCTAATGTAAAAATAGAAGACTGAGGCACAGAGAGGGTTAGACATTTTCAAAGGTACCCTGATGATCACTCAAAGGTAGATTGTTTAATAGTCTTAACCTTTAAATTACAAATATACTTATGGCCAGGAAGTGAATTTATTATGAACCATTTAGATCTTTGTTAAAAATATACTTATTTTCCTATAGATATAGCTGCTTGAAAACCAAAAACTCCCCCAGTTAGTTCTTGGATAGTTCTAATTCTGGTAAGAAAACAGAAATGTTTTGATCATCTTCAGTCTAATATAATAGTATTTTCTATCCAACTGGTTTGTGTTTCTTACCTATAGTATATTTTCTTCATAAAAAATGGTAAGCAGTTGAAACATTGTTTGTAGATCTTGTTCTGATCAGTTTCTAATTCCAATCCACATTTTCCACAGCCTGTATATGTAATGTTGGGAAGAGAAGATAAAATATCCTTCAGAGAACTCTGGGCGTTGAAGGCTACATTTCTCTTCTGGACTGATGTAACAGGAAACACCAACTCTAAAATCTGAGCTTTGATAAGAACTACTCCTATGAAAATCAAACACAAATAAGTATTATGAATTTTAGAACCAGAGCTATCACAATTTATAAACGTGGTTAATTATCACATCATAGTAGGTAGATTTACAGTTACTTCACAGAAAATTACACACCCTAGGTTTGCTCTTGGTCTTCTCCTATCCTCTCCTTTCCTAGACAATATTCCCCATACTTCACACTTAATGGCTTTAATGTCTTCTCAACAACACAGGAATGATCTGTCTGCAACTGAGGTGAAGATGTACTTGGTTACTTTAGCTAAACAGATGGATGTTTATGACTTCCCTACTTCCTGGGATCATATACATATATGATCATATAGTATGTTTAATTCCTCCTTTAGAAGAAAGTGCTTTAAACACGTCAAACCAGTTGCCATGCCGTACTCTCTCCCACCCTTATCTTTTAATTTGTCACTATCATAAGCCAAATAGGAGCTATTACACTAATCTTTACTTTATCCAGAAAAAAAGTCCAATAGTTAACGTGTTTCTGATTAAACTTTTCTTTCTTCCCTCCAATTTCCTGATCCTATTATCTATATTACGGGTGTGAATACTTTTTTATTATAAATAGCTATTTTACTTCCTTTCAATAACCTTCTCTTACTCTTAAGATTAGCAAATGGCTAATTCTCTTCACTTGTTTATACATCTCATTGTAACTAGCTGACCTTGAGCTATTCGTTTATTTTGGTTTTCAATCAGAAGAGTATGTATAGAAATTAACTGTTCAGAATAAACCTTCTATTTAATTTTATTGATTTTTGATTATTGCTAACAAGGTGCATTATAGATGAGTACTGAGATCTATATTTACTCAATATTTCTCCTGTGACTCTTCAGGATCTTCAGGTATGTTCCTTCTTTACACACTGACTGATCCCCTGAATTATTAGTACTGAATATGTACTATCTATCTGCCATGTTGCCCAGAGTGGACAGTCTTTGGGAAAACACAATATGCTGAGTGATGATAGAAAGTCATGAAAAGAGTGGAAGACCTTCAAAGAGACAGATTCACAGAGTGACTGCAAGTATGAGCTTAACCAAGGTGGAGATTATGAAGATGGTGCTTGGATAGGGCAAGGTTCTGGTCTGTTGTTTAAAGGGAGATATGATTGATCATGGTTGATGCAATAGCACTAAACATTTAGAAAAATTACCTGTCAAACATTCCTCTGTCCTATTTTTTTTTATCATATTCATACTAGAGGTTGTTGTTGTTGTTATGTGCCATTGAGTCGCTTGCAACTCATAGCGATGCTATGTATGAGCTCTAAATGTTGTTCTATCCTGTGCCAAGCTAGCCATCTCAAACGCAGTTATTCCCACCACTACAGTCACAGAATTGATCCATCTCATCAAAGGCCTTCCACTCCTTCACCACCCCTCGACTCTGCCAAACATGATGTCCCTTTCCATGTTTCCTTGCAACATGCCCAAAGTATGTCAGACGAAGCTTCAGAATCCTTGACTCCAAGGGGCATTCCGGCTTCACCCTCTCCAGGACAAACCTGTCTGTTCTCCTAGCAGTCCATGGTATATTCAACACTCTTCTCCAGCACCACAGCTCAAAGGCATCAATTCTCTATCATCCCTATTCACTGTCCAACTCTCCGATCCATAGCACGTAACTGCAAAGACTACAGCCCAGATCAGGCGCACCTTAGTCTCCAGCCTGACATCATTGCTCTTCAGTACTCTTGAGAGGTCCCTCACAGCCGACTTTCCCCAATGCAATTCGTCTCTTGATTTCCTGGCTGCTGTTACCAAGAGCGCTGATTGTGGAGCCAAGTAAACTAAAACTGTTAATTATCTCAATCTCATCACCATTCATACTGATGCTGCCAATTGGCCCAGTGATGAGAATCTTTATTTTCTTGATGTTGAGCTTCAATCCATATTGAAGACTGCAGTCGTTGACATTCTGCAGCAAGCACCTGAGGTTCTCCTCAGTTTCAGCAAGCAGGGTTGTGTCATCTGCATAAAGCAGGTTGTTGATGATTCTTCCACCAATCCTGATGCCACATTCCTCCTCGAACAGCCCAGCATCTCAGATGATCTGTTCTGCATACAGATTGAAAAGGTATGGAGACAGAATATATCCCTGATGAACCCCTTTCTTGATTTTGAACCATGTAATGTCTCCTTGCTCTATTCTGACAACTGCCTCTTGGTCCAAGTATAGGTTTCGCATTAGCACAATCAAACGTTCTGGATTCCCATTCTTCTCAGAGTCAGCCACAGTTTGTGTGATCCACACAATCAAAAGCTTCTCCATAGTCAATGAAGCACAGATAGACATTCTCCTGGTATTCTTTGCTTTCTGCCAAGATCCATCTAACATTAGCTATAATATCCCTAGTACCACGACCTTTTCTAAATCCAGCCTGCACTCACTCAGTGTTTCTTAAGCTGAAGGAGCTGAAAAACACATTCAAGCCACAGGTGGCAATACTTAAGGATACTTTGGGCAAAATGTTAAATGATCCAGGAAGTATCAAAAGAAGATGGAAGGAATACACAGAGTCACTGTATCAGAAGGAATTGGATGACACAGAAGAATTTCATGAAATGACATATGAGCAAGAGCCTATGATGATGAAGGAGGAAGTTCAAATTGCTCTGAAGGAACAGGCATAAAACAAGGCTCCAGGACTTGACGGCATACCAATTGACATATTTCAACAAACAGACACTGCCCTGGATATGCTCACTAAGTTGTGCGAAGAAATCTGGGGACAGCCAGCTGGCTGACTGACTGGAAAAGATCGATATCTGTTCCCATTCCAAAGAAAGGAGACCCAATGGGGTGCAGAAATTATTGAACAGTATCTTTAATATCACATGCAAGCAAGAGTCTGCTGAAAATTATCCAAAAACATACTAGAGGAGTTTATGAATTTATCTGAGCATTCACTCCTGTATCCCACTGAAAAAACCTCCATGGAATGAAGAAGGATAGCATTGCTAATGTCAGATGGTTCTTGGCTGAAAGCACAGAATACCAAAAGATGATTGTTGTTGTTATGTGTCATCGAGTCACTTGCAACTCATAGAGACCCTATGTACAACAGGCCTAAACACTGCCCTATCTCTTGCCAACCTTATTGTCTCCAACATGCCTATCCCCATTGCCCCAGTGACGGAATCAATTCATCTCATCGAAGGTCTTCCTCTCCTGTGTTGTCCCTCTACCCTCCCAAGCATGATGTGCCTCTCCAAGAACTGATCCCGCCTTGCAACATGTCCAAGGTATGTCAGATGAAGCTTCAGAATCCTTGCCTCCAAGGAGCAGCCTAGCTTCACCCTCTCCAGGACAAACTTGTTTGTTCTCCTAGCAGTCCATGGTATATTCAATACTCTTCTCCAGCACCTAAGGGCAAAGGTATCAACTCTTCTTCTATCATCCCTAGTCACTTGCCCAGCTCTCTGATGCAAAGACCATGACCTGTATCAAACTTTAATGTTCAGACTGATTTCGATGCTCCTCAGTACATTGGAGAGGTCTCTGACAGCAGACTTTCCCAATGAAATTCGTCTTTTAATTTCCTGGCTGCTGGTACCAAGAGTGTTGACTGGAGAGCCAAGCAAACTGAAGCTGTCAATAATCTCAATCTCTTCACCATCTATCATGATGCTGCCAATCGGCCCAGTGGTGAGAATCTTTGTTTTCTTGATGTTGAGCTTCAATCCATATTGAAGGCTACAGTCTTTGACCTTCTGCAACAAGCACTTTAGGTCGTCCTCAGTTTCAGCAAGCAGGGTTGTATCATCTGCATAATAAAGATTGTTGATGAGTCTACCTCTAATCCTGATGCCACACTTTTACTCATAGAGTCCAGCCTCCCAGATAATCTGTTCTGCATATAGATTGAAAAGATATGGAGATAGGGCACATCCTTGATGCACACGCTTCCCAATTTTGAACCATGCAGTGTTTCCTTGCTCTGTTCTGAGGACTGCCTCCTGGTTCAAGTATAAGTTTCACATAAGCACAATCAAGTGTTCTGGATTCCCATTGTTCTCAAAGTCAGTCACAGTTTGTTGTGATCCATTCAGTCACTTCTTGGAACAAAGAGTATTTAATTAGTGAAAAATATAAAAGTGTGTATAATTATTCATCAACAGAAAGCATTCTTCAGCCAGAACTCCACGCCAGCCGGAACGCTGCGCCAGCCGGAATGCCACGCCAGCCACAAAGAGAGCCGGGAAGAGCAACAGTCAGCCAGCCACCGTGGAACTCTACAGGAGTGAACACAGTGTGACCCCAGAGGAGCAATGACTACCCCGCCATGCCTGGGTGACCCCCAACACACAGGGTGCCAGCTGCATAAACCCCCAGCAGCGCCCAAGCCCCACCCCCTACCTCTTGGTGGCAGTGTCCAAGCCCTGTGCTCCTTTGGCCCCCAATCCCTTGCTTTCCCCTCCTTCCCCCGCTCCCCCTTGCAGCTCCACAACCACGCACCTCAGCCTCTGCCACAGCCCTGTGACCTCAGGGCACCACCACGGATCCAGCCATCACCCGGCAGGAGAAAGGCCGGTAGGATCCTGGCTGGGTTTACTGGGGCATTGCTGATTAACTGGGAGAGCACCTAAGGGCATGCCCACTGGTGGGGAATTTGGCTGAGCTCTCTTGGGCTATACCAACTGCTCAAAACGAGCCAGTCAGCTGGCTTCTGTGGACTCTGCAGACCAGCCAGAGGCTAATGGGTCGGTGGGAATTTGACCTTGACTTTTCCGATCCTGTAGGATCCAGGACTCTGCTGGAGCAGGGGCTGTTTTGTGAGAGCACCTGCATAAGTGCCACCAGGCAGGGAACACTGAGAAAACCATTGGGTAGGAAACGGACAGCAGGAATTTGAGTAGGGACTCCAGTTGTGAGCACACTGAGACAGGAGAGGTTTAAGCAAGGTCTCCCAAGTGTTTCACTTGCCCTTGCGATCACCCCAACCCTTTGCCTGCCTCACCCCATTTGGCTCCACA